ATGTATATGTATATGTATATGTATATGTATATGTATTTAACCATCTGCACGGGACTGCATGAGTTAGTTCACTCAGTAAAGTCCTTTCATTTTGAACAGAAGACATGAATTTGATCCCTCAGAACACAAGTAAAGACAAAAATCTGGGCATGGGTATGAAATGTAATTCTAGAACAGGGGAGGTGGAGACAGGTGGATCATTGGCTCAAAATTAAATAGATGGAACCTGAACCTGAAGAATGATAGAATGATATCTGAGGTTGTTCTCTGATCTCCAAACACATGTGCATACATCTATATTTTCATAAACATGTGTACCTGCACACAAATGTACATAAGTATACACAGACATACACACACACACACACACACACACACACACACACACACACACCACTAACCTTTATAATTAGGTCACTTCAGTGAGAGAAGAGTTTTAAACAGAAGTATAAGAGGCAAGGGAAGACACAACGAGGAGGAAGAGGAGGGCAATTGCTTGTTACTGTTAGCAGTGGTGGAAGGAGGAAAGTTAAAATGTAATCTGGCTAAATTCAGAAAAGAAGCTCAACCAGAACAATTAGACAGAACGATCCTGTCAACTGCTAAATACTGATTCAAGCACAGTGTAAAACCGTTTTATCTCGTTTTGCTCAAATTGGGGGCAGGATGAAAGGCTGTCTTCATTCTGGAAGTTCTGTCTCACACATCTGGGGTCCTCTAGAAACAGAGACCAAACCATGAAACTTAAGTAAAATGTGTCTTTCAAGATATCTTAAAGCGGCTTTTAAGATAATAAAAATGAAGGAGAAATTGAATCATTTGAATGAAAGAGACACATTCCCAGGGATAAAACAGGATGATGACCACAAGGCATACACGAGCATGTAACTGGTTCTCAAATATGATGAAAAATTCCAGGGGGTGGAGATAACAAAATAAACGAAGCAACGCCCCTCTCCTTAAACGAGAGCCAGGAAAACCAAAACAAGGTATCTCAAAGAAGAGAATCTCACATTGCCCTGACCCAGCCATAGTCAGGCATTCAATAAAAGCCAAGTTCGCAGAGAAAGAGATCAACACATGCATTGTAGGCCCTGAGAAAGCAACACTCAAACACACAAGGGAAGGTAAGAGTAGTTGTCCCACATCCAAGAATTGCTTGTCCTCAAGGGTCCATCAAAGGACAAACCAGACAAGTGAGAGCTAAATGGGGGAGCTTCCCCCAAAGCCTGATTGGAACAGGTGAATATATTCACCTACACAACCAAGATCAAAACCAGTGCAGGAACAGCGGGACACAGCAGAACATGCATGTGCTAAATGACTCAGTTGGCAACTGTTGATTGGAAAGTGAACAAGGTAGGAAGTCACTACACACCCTATTTCACACTTCATCCACAGTGCATCACAAAATATTTAAGTCTACCAAAGTCACATACTAAGACAAACCCCAGAAACTCCTGTAACCATCTTAAAGTGAGTGGTGTAAGAATTAATGAGAAGAGGGAAAGAGAAATGCATGCAGCTCACTGGGTTTATCATCATTCACAAGAAGAAATCAATAGATATTGTCCCAAAATAGAAGGTTGGGTATTCTGTAAATAGCTATATTCCTAAAGTATGCAGTTAAAATTAAAATTAAAATATTCAGTTCCATGAAAGAAACAGATGGGAAATTAAGGAAGGCAGACCATAATAATGAGAGTTTTAAGTTGCCATAACTACACCCTGAGCACACAGTGGCACGTAAAGCTTATGTGGCATTTCTAAAGAGACGAGTGGCAGAACTCCTGTGGCAGGGAAAGAGCTGATAAAGTTCCAATGGAAAACCACTTGACACATGGACTACTCTGTGTGGAGCCTGACTGTAGACTATTGGCATTGTTATATAATTACAAAAAAAAAATAAAAAATAATTTCAATTCTGAATAGTTGATGGCTTCAAGTAGTAGTACTTAACCTGTGGTTATTTGATGATTAAAGAAACTCACTTTTTTTTTCAAGTTCATAGTCATTTGCCTTATGAGCAAAAATGAATCAGTCAATAGAGCACCCTACCGTCTTTGTGACATTATCTTTCAACTCTTAGTTGTGGTCTTATTGTCTGGTTCCTTCTCATCTTCCTGAATGTAAATGCTGGTGTGCTCTGGGGACCAATGTTTGGATCTTTTCTCTTTTCTTAATCCTTCAATTTTTTATGATTTCCAAATATTATCACATATAGTATACAACCTTCCAATTTGTCTGTTCATCCATGATAACCCCACTGCTCCTCTTACAGAATCTGAGCCCTACTCCATGCATGGTTCAAGGAAGCCAGGTCCAACATACTTAGCTGTATGTTTCCTATCACTCTGTCCCTGGTCAAGTCATCAAGTCTTAGGTAAAACAGCAATAACAATATACCCCAACATCCAGTTCCTGGTTTATTTTTAGCCATAGCATCCACCATCATGTGACATATTTTATAAAGAAATAAGCTTATCATAGTAGAAGATAAAAGGCATAGTACATGTTCATAGAACACCACTGTTCTAGCATCATTGTGATGCTTTACAGAGGTTGTTATATAACACAGTACTAATGCAACCCAAGAAATAGGTGCTACAATTAACTTTTTTTTATAGAAAGATAAAATGAAGCTCATTTCAAAGTCACACAGATAAGTGGGGCAAACCAGAGCCTGAGAAACAGTGGTGCTCTAAACCAATGCCCATGTTACCCACCACATCCCATGACATCTTATCTCATCTCATCTTTCCATCTCCCTCTCTCTCTCTCTCTCTCTCTCTCTCTCTCTCTCTCTCTCTGCATGTGTTTCCTACAAAAATTAATTTCACTAATTCAAGAAATTTCTGTATTCCTTGTCCTAGCCCCAGCAGCTAGAGGAGAGACCACACATGTACCTAACAATGAATTAAACTTATGGAAAACTGCAGCCTCACCTCTTTTATGCAAAGTTAAAGATTTAAGCTAATTAATTAAAAAGTCTTTGCTTATAGTATAATAAAAAATAGTTTTAGGATTTTTTAATTTTTTGTAAAACTGTGTATCTAACTGAAGAGTTAAGAATATATTATGAAACACATTGGGCAGGAGAATATCTAAGCACTCTAAGTTTGAAGGCATGTTTCCAAAAACAGTTCAGCCACATTCATCATTAAGAAAAGGACAGTCAGTTTGGTAAATTCATAAATCACCACATGCTCCCATGTTTAAAAATTTTCGGCAAAGATAAAGAAAAAAAAAAACAATCACCTTATATGAGGACCGTGGCAACCAGAGTGGGATGGAAGTAAAAATTCAAACCATGGATGCAGTTAACAGATGTCTATTCCTTCAGCTTAGCAAGAGTGAGCGCGATACTAGTTTATGTCCCAAATGGGTTGGTACTGAGTATGTCATCAGCTGGGTCAGGCACAAGCTGATCTTGTGTTTCTAACACACAGCACCCACCCTGGGGTGTGGAGAAAGCCATTTACCCCAGGCATCTATAGCACATGACGGAGGTCATGGCTCGATGACCTAAAGGCATCAGGATGTGGAGACAGTACTGAAACCCACGGGAGTGCTCAGGCAGTAAGTCCTGGGAGCAAAAAGCATCAGGTCAAGGGCAAGAATCTGAGGAATATCAAGAGTAGTGGCTAGCACTGCATATTTTGCAGGGTTTGTGTTCAGTAAATACCAATGAATGAGACAATGAGAAGGCTGTTGATATCCTGCAACTTTGAGAATTAATCCTGAGATGCTGACTTCTACTCCCTCTTTCAGGTTGATTTGGGGTGGCAGGCTACTTCTCCTGGGTTTCCAGCAACACAGCAAATATTCACTTGCATTGAAACTTTGCAGGGCCAATGGTGAGAGACGTAAGAATTTAAAATACCGTTCTTCCTTCCAGAGTGTAAAATTTCATTTGGAAAGGAGAAGAATCTGTCCACATTTGGCAAGGGATAACTCTAATAATCCATGGGCTAGAGAAAGATAATCTGGAGCGATAAGGGGCACTGAAGGTAGGGTGCACACTCACAGAGGAGATGCCATCGATCTGGACTGAAAGGCTAAGGAACAGGCAGAGAAGCTCTTTCAGGAGCAAATGTAGGGCTGTGTCAAAGGTCAAGTTTCCTCTGGGAAACCATTTGGCAGACAACTGAGAGTAAACAATGGAAAAGTGGGTTGGGAACTGAAGGCTGCCATCAAATGTCGTTTGATAAATCTATCTGTCTATCTGTCAAATGATCTGTCTGTCTGTCTATCATCTATCTATTGAATGATCTGTCTGTCTATCTATCTATCTATCCATCTATCATCTACCACTTACCTTCATCTACCATTTACCTTCCTATATCTGTCTCTCTCTCCCTTTAGAGTGTTGCCTTTTACTTTTTTCCACATTTTCCCTCTGTTTTGTATCTCCTTGAACTAAAAAGTAGACACTGCAAAACTCAACATAAAGATTTTAGTTTCCTCTACTAGTCGATTTCTTGTTGGAAAACACTTGAGAGTTGGACATTCTAAAAAGTATTAAGCTCTGGAAGGGGAAGGGACAATTCAGTATGTTTTAGACTTTTCCAGAAAGCAAAATCTGGTGATGTCTAATTCACTGCAGGATTTCACTTCCAAGTTAGACGAGCCACTTTAGACAGAAATAGAACATGGCTTTGATAAATTACTTAAAGTCAAAGTCCATTAGACATTTGACTTTTAATAACCTCAAACCCCAGCCTAACCATCTCAAGACAGCTCTGTTATCGTGAAGTGGCAATCCAACTGAAGAATTCCCTGGGTAAGTAAAATCCCCAGGGCAGAACACTGACCCCGAAAACCTTCAAAGTACAGCAGAAGTCTGGAGTCTCCCTAGTGTCTGGAACCAAGGAGTGAGTGAAGGACAGTGTCCTTGCTCCACACCTTCGCATTCTCAGGAAAGCCACCCTTGTTTCCTAGCAGGCAGCCAACCTCACCTTGTCTCCCTTCCTACCATCAGCTGTACTGGCAATACTCACCTGAATGAAGATATACTCATCCTGGACAACCAGAGAGCTGATGTCAATGGAGCGGGCAAAGGGGCCACTCCGAGTTGTCTCAGCACATTCCTGGATCCTGCAGGTGAGGTAGTGGGCATCTGAAAAAGAAAGGCAGGGTGGCATTTAGCAGCAGGGTAAGTGACTAGCCAAGGCCCCAGCAGCACACAAAGATGGACATTATAGGGAATCACAGACTAATTTTTTTTTTTTAATTTTTTGAGACAAGGTTTCTCTGTGTAGCTTTGTGCCTTTCCTGGAACTCACTTGGTAGCCCAGGCTGGTCTCGAACTCACAGAGATCCGCCTGGCTCTGTCTCCCGAGTGCTGGGATTAAAGGCATGTGCCACCACCACCCGGCCATAATTTTTTAAATAATAATGAGATTTTACTTTCTTGTACAAAGAATTTGATGTCACTACCCCCAAAATGGAGGTAATACCTAAGTTAGTCAAGAGAGTGGGGAAGGAGTTAATCCCATCTACTACTAGTAAAAGAATAAATTCACTTAACATTTGGAAGAACACATTTGAAGAAGCTATCAGAAATTTACATGCACATGTTTTACACCACCAATTTTAATTCAAGGAACATTTCTACAAAAAGACCCATATATTTTCACAAAGAGGAAAGGCGGGAATATTCATTGTGACATTATTCACAGCGATGAAAAACTGAAAATAGGCTAAACGTTCACGAATTAAAGAATATTTGAATGAGCTAAGATATAATATATGACCGAGTCTCATGCTGTTACTGAAAGAATTGCTAGCTACATATGTGTCGACAGACTTTATCCATGTGCATTGTTTTACCATGTTTTGAATGTGTGTTTCCCATTTTGTACAATTATGGCCTAGTTTATGACTTAAGAATATGTCTTTAGGTACATAGGCTTGTGCCATAATTATGCAGAGTAATGATCTCAAGGCCTCATATAAAGATTAGATATGATTACTTTGGGATTGGGATGGACTTAAGACATTATATAATATTGTAGTATTGCCTGTGATTTTTGCATAATATACATCTTTATTATGTTTGCAACACGAATACTTTCACTTACTATTAACATGAAGCTTGTATAACTATTGGCAAAAAAAAAATCTACATTTATAGTAACAGTTATAGCTGAACAACCAAACAATCTCTGACTCTTAAGTGCATCAACCCCTGATGACAGCTATCCAGGAAAACAGTGTTTTCGATTTCTTTCTCCTTCAAAAAAGCTACAAGTGTGCCTCTGTGAAGAAATCAACCTGTAAATTGCCTTAAACATAGTTACTGTTCATTTTATGGGATTCTAAAATAAATGGTCAAAATGAAAAGTAGTTTGCTTTAAAACTATACATGGAGAATCATTTTTTCTTCATACTTAATTTCCCTTTAAAGTTAAAATAACAAAGGAAGTTTGGGGGTTGTTGTTGATGATGATGATGATTATCAACAATCCATAAGCATAGCTCTGGCCTGGCAGTTCAGGCCTATAATCTCAAATAGTCAGGAGGCTGAGGCAGGCAGATCACAAGTTCAAGGCTGCCCCAGGCCTTAATGAGACCCTTTCTCAAAATAATTGGCTCTAGTTCATTATAGGATGACGGGAGCCATAAGCCTAAGCGACCCTTGACATATATGCTGCCATATTTGGGTTTCTCTCCTCTTTTCTTAGATCGAGGCCTTGCTTAAGTCTCCATAGCACCAGAACCTCTTCCCACAGATACCAGAACCTCTTCTCAGATATCAGGTGAATGAGCTGCAGTTAAGCAATTAGGCAGTTATACAAGGGTAGATAGATAACCTTCAGAGCAACATTTCCTGCTGGCCGAACAGCCCATAATTAAGTCTCTTCCTGCTTGCAACCCCTATTACTAAGTCCCTTCCTGCTTGCAACCCCCATAATTAAGTCCCTTCCTGTTTGCAACCCCCATAATTAAGTCCCTTCCTGCTCGCAACCCCCTTTGCCTACCTATATATGCCTTGAGGGAAAAATAAAATTTTGGAGCTTGATCAGACGTCCTGTCTTGCTCTTATTCTTTGTGTCTCTTGTCCCTCTCATTCGCCGGCCCTCCCTTTAGGTCTCCATTGAAGACCCCGCTGGCTGGGGCAATAGGCAAGCTGGTATGAGACCTTCTGGATTTCTAAGTAATGCTGTCTATTTATTTTTAAGGTGAAATATTCTGATTTTAATTTTTTATGGGCAATTTAAATTTCAAATGTAGTACAGGACAACTGTGTGGCTAAACAAACAAGACCACAGTCCACATGAGACCCAAGAGTGACTTACTTCCCACCTGTGCCCTTTCAGTTATTCCTGTCCACCTCACGAGGGAGACAGACGTTTCGAAGTCCCAGACCCTGACCATGCAGTAAGATCGGTTTTCCAGTACTTTTGAGTGTGCCCTGAGTGTCTCCCCTCCTTTGCGATCATTAGTGGATGAAGCCAAGGGCGGCCTGGCTTCCCTCTTCCTGCTGAGAGGAAAGGAGAAGACAGGGATCCCAGGCTGTGCTTTGAGCACAGGGGCAGCTCACCAGGGATATTCGTGGATATGTACCAGCTTACTAATTTGCTCCTTGAATAAAGCACCAAAATACAGCACACGGCTGCAGTAAACACGTGTAAAGAAATCACAAATGCCGACATGACAACCTGTGTCCTTGTCAGCCAGTGCCTCGGAAAGCTCTTCACACTGGTAATCAAAGGTGCATGTGGGAGGGACACTGGCTTATACTCATGCAAAGGCTCATTCTTTCTTGGCTATTTACTATGCTTTTTGCATTTGAACACTCTGAAAGAAGAATCAAGTCTTTTCAAGGCCACCCCAAACAAAATCAACACCTACCCAAACCTTGGCCCGTGACAAGTGGGAGACAGTGCCAAACGCATCCTACTTCTTGGCTCTGGCTCTGCTTGCCACTGTGCCTCATGGGATGACAGGTTCAATTTAACAGGACACAAGTACTAAAATGAGTTGCTGAAATCCACTTAACATTCAGGGACCTTGTAGTCTTGAGCCAGACTCAAGTACTGGAAGTCTCAATGCTTTGATTTTCCAAAACTCAAAGATACAATAATGAGCACCATTGCACCCACTGCCTAATGAGAACTCAGTGGGGGGAGAATGGTGAATTATCAGGCAGTCTTGGCTACCAAGCAGAAATAACTGAGAGTCACAGGAAGACCTTTGGGGGTCAAGGATGAGCAGGAAATACCACTTGTCTTAGGCTCCACATTCCTAATGGATCTCAAGTTGGAAGTATAGTGATAGTCTTCCCAAATGAGGGTAAATATGACTATATGTAAAAGTTCTATAATGAAACCCAGAAGGGTATTTATCATATACAATGAAATCCCCACACAAGCTTCTAATAACCTGACCTTGTTTGCTTGTTTGTTTTTAGTAACACCAGGTACCAGACACAGGAAGAGACTCAGATTGATGGATCACCATGTGACACTTAAGGGCAAGGCAGTCCAAATCCTGGGCTTGCTTTGTGTTAATTACCCTTGGATGGGTAAGAGCATATCTCATCTGGGAGGAGTCAACAATGTAAGATTGTTATCAAGATTCACTATATTGTGTATTAAAATGCTGAGCATATTGTGGAATACATTTTTTAAAATTGACAAATGCCAGTTATAATTTTACTGGAAAGAAAAAGGAAAGGAGTTTAGTTATGCACATCCCTCATATACTCTACTAGTAACAAAGAACAGTCTGCTTCACTGTCAGGGAAGAAATGTGTGTGTTAATGCTAAAGTCATATCCTGAGTTTTTATTGCTATGGACACCCTTTAAGTGCCAGGTATAAGCAAAAAAAGAAGAAAAGGATGCCTTAGATGGAAACAATAAAGGAGAAAAAAAGAGGGACATGGCTTTTGAGGTTAGACTGTGGATGGGAAAGTATGTCATGTGAAGAGGGAACCCTAGAAAATTCAATAACTTCACCTGGACTTGAGTGTAGGCAATACCTCTGACCCACATTGCCAAACTGCATGCTGGGTGACTGACTGAATGTCACCATTATTATTGAGGCTGAATTTTCTGTTCTTTATTTGAAACATCCCCAAGTGGAAAAACAAAACAAAACAACAACAACCTCATTTAGATACCCCTATGAGAAAACCAGGTAGTGATTTTCCAAATGGTGAATGCCGATGACTAATATGTTTCTAAATGGAAAACATCTTTGGCATGCATTTCTAAGAGCTGATGCGGTGACTGCATTTACAAAACTAAAAGTCACAGTCAAACGATGTGTCTTCTGTACCATGAACAGAAGGATCTGCTTGGTACCTCCGGAATATCTGGTCCAATTTCCAAGTAGGTGTGTACTGTAGCAGGATGTTTAGGGAAGACCCCTCCTATGCCAGGTTGGGCCAGTTTCCAAGCATCCTCACCTACAGCACAAGAGTTTCTTATGGTGTGAAGGGCTGCCTTAGATGGGTTCACTCATTTCTTTTGTATCCAACCAAGGTACACAGGGAAGCTGCAGGCGTCAGACACTCATTGCTATTCTGGGACACAGAAAACACTAGTTCCTTTTCTCAAGTTATTCCCAGGCCAATGACAGAGGCAGCATATTCACAAATGAATGCAACCCGGATTTGCACACAAGCATCCAGGAATTTGGTCAGAGAGAAAGTCTAACACCCTCCAGAGCCTCATTTCTTTCCAAGGGGGGCTGCATTCCTGCCAGGAGCTCTGCAGGGCTCAGGGAGACAGCTTTTAACTTTCTGAATTCAGCAAGGTGAGCTTCTCATCTATACTGACAAATGCCACAGTAAAGTCTAGGTCGGGCTTTACCAGGCTTTTTCAAAAGAGTTACCTCCTTATACCAGCAGAACCATGGCTGTAAGCATCTTTTTCTCTTTGGCTGGCTTTATAAACCTGCAGTAAGTGGTACTTAAACAGAATTGAATTCTATTAAAAGCCTATACATTTTTGTTATGCTGAATTATATAGTGGCTTGTGATTACACTTTGCTTTTGAGATTACTAAATATTCAAACTTCCTAGACATCAGGCCTCTTGCCACCTCAGAGAAAAGAACTTTCCATGATTCGTTCAACTTCCATCCCTCTGGGTAATATACATATTGTCAGAAGTTGAAAAAGTGAATTAAAATTTTGAACAAAAAGCAAATTCAGCTCTTCAGGTCTGTTCTTGAGAAATACCCAAGAGCTGTTTATTTTAAATAACAACATTACTCTCAAATGCAAACACATAAAAAGAAGCAGATTCAAGGGGACTCTGAAAACTTCTTTAGCTCCTCTAATCCTATTTGTTGTAGACTGGAAAGTGGAGCTAACCTACTTACAGGAAGTGCAAATCAAAGGATGTGACATTGATGGAAAGGCCTAATTTAACATGAGAGGCACAGTGGATACTAAAACCAAACAAAAACTGGTAGTTCCCACCCATTCTGTTGGGCTTACGACTTTCAAGCTTTAGTGAAACTTCTAATACAGGAAAATGCCAGCAATCTCTGCCTCTGTATGGCACCGGGAACAAGCTAGCAAAGTTACAGGCATTCAAACATCATGGCAATCTTGACTGACTTCATTGAAAGCTATTTCTAGTTCTAATGGAATAATCCATCTCTGGATATGATGGCTGTACGATGGTGGAGGTAGTGCTGATTGATGATGGTGGTGTTGATGATGGTTGTGGTGATGAGGATTGAGGAGGTGATGGTGGTGGTGGTGGTCATGGTGATAACAATGACAGGAACAGCATTTTGAGGTGCTCATTCTCAGTTGGCCAATAATATTTTAGGATCATGTGCTTTAACTTATTTAAATATTGCAATAATACAATAAGGAGCAGTAACCCTGCATACATCATTATCACCACCTCCAAGTTATTAAATGTCTTTACTAAGTTGCCAGTTGATTGATTGACAGATTTTCCTATGTTCCACATCTGAGACCTTAGGCGAATAGCAGAACTGGGTCTGAACCCAAGTAACTTTGATAAGAATCTGTGATCCTAAATACTAGGTATTTGGAACACAGAAGGAAAACTAGAACCTAAATTCCAGTTTAGACCCAGACATGTTATCATATATTGACAACTTAGAAAATGATGCTGAAAAATTATTCTTTTTTCCTTTATTAAAAAATTTTTTATTCATTTTACATACCAATCACAGACCTCCGTCTCATCCCTCCTCCCACTTCCCCCAAGCCTTTCTCCCCCACCCCCATCCCCTCCCATGGGGAGTCAGCAAAGCCTGGAACATTCAGTTGAGGCAGGGCCAAGCCCCTCCCCACTGCATCAAGGCTATGCAAGGTTTCCCACCATAGGTAGTGGGCTCCAAAAAGCCAGCTCATGCACCAGGGATAGATCCTGATCCCACTGTCAGGGGCCCCTCAAACAGACCAAGATACACAACAATGACATCATGAAATTTGCAGGCTAGATGGAACTAGAAAATATCATCCTGAGTGAGGTAACCCAGACTCAGAAAAACAAACATGAGCCTTCATCCAAGTAACTGATGGAAGCAGATGCAGAGATCCACAGCCAAGCACCAGGCCGAGCTCCAGGAGTCCAGTCGAGGATAGGGAAGAGGGATTCTATGAGCAAGGGACATCAAGATCATGATGGAGAAATCTGAGACAACCAACCCAAGCTAGTAGGAATTTATGAACTTTAGACCAAAAGCTGTGGAGCCTGCATGGGACTGGACTAGGCCCTCTGTATAAGCAAAAAACAATTCTTAAAAACATCTTAAAGATAATTCTGAAGTATTTTTAAACAGAGAAAACCCTGTACCCCCAAAATAAAGTGGAGTTTCATTGTACCCACTCTAATTACAGCAAAGGCCCTTGGTCTGCAGCTCCAATAACTAAGCTCCCTCTGCCCTTCATCTTACCTTCTGAGTTTCTAGAGAGTGATGGAGCTCTAAGCGGAGGTATTTTAAGAGTCAGTGATCTATGATTCTAGGGTTTAAAGTTTAGTCTGATGTACTAATAATCTGACATTGAGCTCAACCCATTTGCATGGGATGCTGTTAAGAAGTACTGGGATAATAATTCCTGCCTCTACTTCTCCCCCATGTCTCCTTCTAGGCACAAGTCAAAGACTTCCTTTCCTCCCTCTTCCTGGCTGCTATACAAATGAAAGTCTTTTAGATAGGCACATTGGAAGGGTAGCCCAACGACCTCACTCAATGTGCGCACTTAGCTGGAAGAAGCCAGATAGATCATCAGTCAATTCCATAATATCAGCTAGGATTACTTCTTCAGATGGGTGAATGTAGGAGTATCATAAAGGCCCATTAAGAAAAACTTCCTTCTGCTCAAGAGAATAGAATCTCTGGCCTGGATGAGACCTAACAGTCCAGTTAATCCATTTCAATCACCTGGCCAAGGAACCACACTTAGGAAGGCATAATCACCTTGAGCCATGCTAAATGTATGGGCAGAATCATTTTGTGTTTAATGGGAGACTGTACTTTTGCCTCCTAGAATCCCAGCCTCCTAATGTAGTCCCTATGAGCCGCTGTGAGGTCTAGCTGGGTGTGCCCACCTTCCTGAGGCCTGTAGCAGAAAGGCATAGCGTTCCCTTCTTTCTATCTCTTTTTATTTAGATGCTGGCCAGAATCTAAGTATGTTCTTTTCTGATATTTTGGGCTTCCTTACTTTTGCTCTAAAGCCTCCCTCACCACCGTGTGGCTGCCTGAAGTCCACGCTGACTTAAACAACATAGCATTTTTCCTCTTTACTTCCATTCTCCACCTCCAGGCAGCTGACGAGATTTATAGCTTGCCTGCCCAGGAATTTTACTTTTAAACTCTAAAATTGCCCTTGAGCTTAAAATTAAAATAGCATTGGGCTTTACAATGACTTATGACTTATTGGATAATGAGGCTTAATAATGGCATGGGAACAAGAGATGGTGGCATGTGTGGTTAAAGTGTGGATTCTAGAAATTTCAGGAACGTGAAGACAGTTAAAAATATTTGACAGTGTCCAGTTATACTTGCCATAGAGTCCTGACAAAACCCCTTCCTGGCTTTACCTGGAAATTATCAGTGAGGAAGAGTCCAGTATGACATGAAGCCACCTGTGTCATTGATGAGCTTTGTGTTTGCAGAACTAAAATCTGCCTAGCAGTCAATTTTGATCAACAATAAAATCTTTGTTAACAAATTGATTAAAACTATATAAAGCAATAGATGAAGTATTGCAAAAAGGCCAAAAACTCTGTCCAAGGTCAACTAATTTCTAAATGAGGCAGAAAGTACATCCAGCTTTTCTTAATGTAATATATTCTGGATGATATAGCAGGTCAAAGCAGGACATGCTCACAAGCTTTGTTCATTTCATGGGTTCTACAATGTTCCTCTGCTATTTGCTCAACTCAGAACCTTCTGAGGTGAACAGGAAATAGATAATACCCTGTTCAGAGGACATTGCCGAGAAATTAGGATTCTTTTCCCACTGTTCTCACAGCATAAAGGTGGTAGAACCCTGGATCCAACTCACAGGCAGGTGTTTGTCCTGTTGTGTTTCAATTAGATTGTTTGCATCTGTTTCCAACCTACAAGGTTTTATGTATTAGAATAAAATATATTTTCATCTAAGTTGACTTTATTTTTCCTTTGAAAATATAGTATTATAATATGATAAATTCTGGAAAGTTAGTATTATAGTTTTTAGAAAGGCTTTTTCAGATTTATTGTTTTTATTTTATGTGTGTATGTATATGTGTTGAATACTCATGGAAGCCAGAAGAATGCATTTGATCCCTTGGAACTGGCATTACATAGTTATGAGCTGTCATATGGGTGTTGGGAATCCAAATCTGGCCCTCTGGAAAAGCAGCCAGTGCTCATAACCACTCAACCATCTCTCTAGCTTCAAATGTTACAATTGTTAAAACAATTAGCTTGACACAAATTTTGCATGAGATGTATACAGCCAGACATGTTACAAAGAAGTTGTAGTTTGTCTGTCTTGATCTTTTTCAAGTCCTGTGAATGTAACTATATGTCCTGCGATTATGTACTGAACACAATATTTCAAAACACTGTTTCTTATCCTTCAGTTCCTACATTCCCTTTGCTTCCCCTTCCATGGTATGGCTGGGGAGTTTACAAGGTTCCACTCCTTATTGAGGAGTCACTGGAAGGTTATAGATGCTTGGCCAAGGGAATCATTCTGTTTGGGGGTATGGTCACTTGTAGATCTCCCATGTTCCACTGGACAGCTCCATGCATATACATATATATATGTACATATATACACATATACACATATATACATATATATATATGCAGCATTAAATTGACTTAGTGGGTTACAAAAAATGAGAAAAGAAGAAAGCATGAAGTTGGAAGGGGGATATGTTGGGAGGGATCTAAGGGGAGCTCAAGAGGGAACTGGGAGATAGATATGATATTACATTGTATACTTGTATGAAATTCTCGACAAATAAATTAAGAAAAAAATCCCAAAGGTATATACTTGAACTCTTGGAGTTCCATTGTTAGAACAGAACCTCTTGTTCACACAGATAATATAATACTTTAACCACTGTATCTACATGGTCAAGAACAAAGCCTGGCATATATTAGGTCATCTTTAAATTTCTGTCCAATAGATGAACAACATTTTTGCAAATCTCACTTTTTTGGAAAACCTGTCCTTATTAAGGGTTCATATGTCAAAACAAGTGGCCCCTAAGAGTCACCATTTGAGTATAAAATGCCCTGATGAGCTATGGAGGCCAGTGTTTGAAGATGCTAAGAAAATTACTAACAGGGGCAGCAAAATACATCACATTAACTCACATCCCCAGAAAATTCATTTCTGGGGGTTCATTTCAATGAAAGTCTCTCTTGGGACCAGAAGTCAATTCCTCTGCTCTGGGAAATAGGAATGGATATGGCAGTAATGGAGCTTGAGGCTTTTCATCTTCCCAAGCCATTAAAATGCAAATCAGGGTTGGACAGAGACCTCAGACAGATCTCTGGCATAGTCTGACCAATAGCAGCACTCACATCCATCTGCTGTCCTCACTTCCATGTGCACCAGGTCTGCCTCCTTATCCAATCCAGACACCGACCTGGGGAAGAAAGGGAGAAACAGGTTGAGTACAGCCATCGGAAGTCCTAAAAATGTGACTGGTTTTAGAGACTGCCACCTGAAATGGTCACAATACACCTAGAGAGGTAGGTGTCAGTGAGTCAATGCCTCTTGAAAAAGAGTCCATGACAGAACACTTTGAGTCTGAATCTCTGTCCTCAACCCATCTCTACCACTTTGTACCTTCTAAGAAATTTTTCCTGATTCTCCCTTCTCCATCATCTTCCATCTGTCTTCTCAATTGTGATGTTTTTCCCCTTGTCCTGGGAATTGAAAGTAGAGCCCTGTGCATGCTCATGATAGGCAAGCACTCCACAACTAGCTGCACCTTCAACCCATGACACTCTTGAATAGCCACATTCTTGCTAGATCTATGTCTTACACATAGAACTCCATTTTCCTGTCTGTTCTGTTGGCCTTCCCCCTGTCCCCAACACACACACCATCTGATCCTGTCTGTCTTTCTTTCTTCCTATTTTACAAACAACAACTATTTTGGCTATAAGCACTCAATATGGTGACCAGGACAAAATTCTCCTGTTAATAGGTTGAGAGAAACCTGAAGACTCAGGTCAGCTACGAGTCTGTATTGTGGGATATTTGGGATATTTGATCACACTGTGAAGACCAAGACTGTGTTAATAAATTCAACCTTGGATCATGGGGCAGAGCCATCAACCACTTGACAGGAATTAGATATAGACAGTACAGAGGAGGTAGGAAAAAGGATAGCGATATGCACTGGAAGGAGTAGGGAGAGACTTAGAGATTCACAGTCTTTTGGTTTGGGACAAGTGGAGAGATGTTCTCTTGCTGGGTCTCCAGGCAAAAAGGAAGGCCAACTGGTTACTTCTCGGCCCCTCTGAGCCAGCAGATTTTCATACCAACATCTGACTCTTGAGTCTTTATTAGTAAACAGAATGATAGAGACTTAGTTAAAAACTACATTTGGTGGCTGTGGCAGGGCTAGTGCCGGAGGGAATGGAAGTCTCACCAGACCACAGCCTGAGTGGTGTGGTGCTGACTGCAGGGCCAGGGGACTGAAGATGGTAGTTAAAATCTCAGTAGGTTCAGGGGCAGCCACTGCGCTGGAGAGAAAACAGGTCTGTGTGGACACTCTTTACAGACCCTTCTCAAGGAACACCTGGGCTACTGTCTCCTGCCTTAGACATCCAGGCCAGTATTAGACACAGAAACCCAGCTGCAAGCGCCAAGACACACACTGAAACATGAATGCACTGAAGAAGACAGACTCACAGTCTCCAGTACACCCTAACTCACAGGACCTGTAGGACGTGATCATCACAGGCGTCATTTCTAGGACCCACTTCAGGTGCGGTCAATGGCTCTGTTCTGTCATAGCTTGGCAACTCCCAGTTTAAACCATCTCAACACCAGTTTTCTAATTTTTCCGGGCTTCGGCATGTCAGAAAAGCAAGTTAGGAAGCAACCGTTGATTAATAGACAGATTTACTAGCTGATAGTGAGAGAGTAAGAGACGTAGAAAAAAATGACAAACAGACCTAAAATTCAAAACTCAGTCTCCACATCACTAATCCACATGCGTCCCAATAGCCCCGGGACGTTACTATATTACAGCTGCATTAGATGTCTGACATCTACACCAAGGGCTGAAGACACAGTGAAAAATGAAGCAGGGGCTTTTATGTCCCACATTCTTAGTTTATGACACCAGGGTGCAAATGACATAAATTAGAGAAACTTAAAATTTTTTTTGTTGATTAAAATAAAACCATCATATCTTAGAAGGCAAAATTTCAGTTACCTAAAACATTGACTTCCTTGAAACACTGCTTTTTCCCCAAAGCTAAACAACTGAGGCCTTACTTTAATGGGCTGTTTCCCCCAGAGATTATTGATGTATTTTGTTTTGTTTTATTTATCTCATTTGATCCTAACAGTAAATCTTGAACATGAGTATAGCAGGCATCATTTCTCAATATTTAACTGGAGGAGAAACTGAGGCATAGAGAACTTACTCATCTCAGATCATGTAAGGAGCAAGTCAGAAATTGAAAGATGCCCTGACTTCTGTATGGGGCAGTTCCAATGGACTGCTTAACTCTTACCTAGCTATTTCTATGCCCCTTTCCCTGACAAGCCCCCACTCCTTCCCAATCCACCTGGCCCAAACCCACAGCAGCCCTTCCTTCTCTGTTTAAGGAACAGGCCCCTCTGTGTTCTAGCAGTGTCCTGGCCCCAATGGTTCAATGAACTGGCCACTCATGAGCACCTCGGTAGAGTTCAGAAACCAACAGATGTCTGAGGCTTCCTGCCTAGATCTGTGAAGCCAAAAATAATGAGGGTGGATCTACAACATCGGTGTTTGTTTTGTTTTGAAGCATCCAGAGGATTTCCATCCTGGAAAACCCCACAGCCCTAAATAACGTTCCTTGGCACAACCTTAGCTGTGACCTCCAGGTCCAAATCCAACACAATACGCCAGGGTAAGTCTGGCTGTAAGTCTGCATTAGTCTCAGGGCTCTCAGCTTAGCACAGTCAAAGTCTGTTACTAAGTAGTTCTCTGTTGTGGGGTCTGTGCTGTGCACTGCAGACTGTTTACAGAATTTCTAGTCTCTGCTAGATATAGCAGCATTTTTGCAGTTGTGACAACCAAGAAATGATTCTAGATTTTGTGAACCCTATCCTGTGGGAGATAAAATCACTCCCATAGAAAGCCACTGCCTTCGCTAGACACACTTAATTGCTGCCTGGACTTTGTACCATCCTTGCTCACAATGCAGCAAAAATAAGTCCTTGGATCTGCATTTCCTCACCTAGTGCAAACAATAATGCTTCCATGCAGCCTGTGAACTACTGCTATTTTGGAGCACGCCATCTCACCAGGAAATTAGATTACACTGAACAGACACAATCAGGTCCCTATCCTTAAAGTCCCAAGGCCCACTCTGGAAACACAATGTGAACAGTATGCCAACAGAGCAAGCCCAAAACAAAACAACAAAGTGAACATATCTGATGGGGTCTGTTGGGGTAGGGGAGTATGGCTGCGCAAGGGAGGCTTGTGTGGAAATGTGTGGGGAAGTGCACGAAATAACAATGACAAATGCTAATGAGTACAAAGAACATCTAGTATCAGACATTGTGTTTGGTATTCATAAGCATTATCTTAATTAATCGTTGAAATGAGTTTTTAAAGAAAGTACCATTCATCTAATTTTCCTCCGTGGTAAAGAGGATAATAAGAGAGATTAAGTGATGTGCCTGAAGCCACATGATGATAACAATTCACAGATACTGAGAGCACACATGTGGTGGGCACTATCTTATGCAGAAATGCTGGTCTCATTTAATTCTCATGCCAGCTCTAGGAGTTGGGAATCGATCTCTTCCTCTATTTAAAGAAGGCACAATCAGGCATTGAGAGCTTAAGCAACTTGCCTCCAGTCATCCAGCTAGGAAGCAGCAAGAGTGGGCTTAAGCCAGGTAGGTGGCTTTGAGCCAGAGCTTAATTTCTGCCATAAGCTTCTGCACCTATCCTGAGGGAGAATAGGATTTGAGCCCAGCCACTTCTAGAGCAGCTGCTCTCAACCTGTGGGTTTTGGAATGACCCTTTCACAGGGGTCGCCTAAGACCGCCAGAAAACACAGATATTTGCATTATAATTCATAACAGTAGCAAAATTACAGTTAAGAAGTAGCAACATAAACAATTTTATGGTTGGGGGTCACCACAATATGAGGAACTGCATTAAAAGGTTGCAGCATTAGGAAGGATGAGAACCATTGCCCTAGAGTCAAGATTCTATCTAGCATGTCACTGTCCCAAAATATAAATTCTACATAAAGTAGCATTGTGGGCATATTCTGTATATGTCTCTCATCTTACCAAACATTTTCTTTCTAACTACTCAGACTAGGAGTCACTTATATTGGTGATGTTCCATAAGAAAGGAATGTCAGAAATAAATAAAAAGAGCAAATAGGTCTATGCAAATGGTAGAGGAATAGTGAGTAGTGAGTAGAGATTTTTGAAGTGAAAGATAAAAGAGTGGACGGAAAGCCTGTTTGTAAATTGGCCTTACTCTTGTCGTCTGTGAGGATGGAGAGGTCTTCAGTACATGAGAGGAGCTGCACTGATGCCAGGGGCAACTGGAGATGGATGAGAGGCATGCTCACTCAGATGTCAACCAGGTGAATAAATGATCCTGGGATGGGATTTCTTCCACCTCCAGCATCCAAATTCCTTCACCTTCTGGGACTAACATTGCAAAAGAGGATGCTACCAGACCAAGGCCAATATCCATGACAGAGCAGACCACAAGAGAAATAACACTCTGTCTTTGTCAGGTTTTTGTCACATGACAAGTAAAAGAGCCTAAAGGAAGATTTTGACTTATAGTTTCAATCTGTTGTTAGCTGCTCCATTGCTATAAGCCTATGGTGACAGAGCATCATGATGGAGAAGTTCTTTCTCATAGGGAGAAGTTCTTCTTATCTCATAGCGACTGAGAAACACACAGAGAAAAGGTCTGAAGATAAGATATACCAGCCCAAGGCACATGCCAAGTGAAGTTCTTTCTCCATCTAGGCTCCTTGTCTTAATAGTCCATCCAGCTCTAAATTCATTAGTCACCTATTAGAAGCCTATCTGCTCCAACCAAGCCTTCAGCTCAGAAGCCTGCAGAGACTCTTTTCAGACTGACACAAATCAAATCATATTCCATGTTATTAGTGTCTGCAACAGGGCAAAGACATAAGCATTTCACTGAAACTGCATGGAATAAAATTCTTGGGACTTTTCTGCAGAGTATCAGGTGGTAGAGGACAATTGTGCCAGGACATGTTATTACTCCCATACTATAAACAAGTCATCAATAGCAACTGTATTTAACTATGCTATATTTCTGGTTTTAATTAAGCTACTTTAAAACAAAATTCCATGGAACAAAATAGAATTAGGATATTATAATCATATACAATCTGTTAAAGTCTTTAT